CGTGGGGCGGGGGGGGGGGCGGGCGGAAGGGAGGAGCTGGACCTGCCAGAGGTGCCCTTTGTGCTGGGTGGAGCGCCTGCCCAGACCCCCTTTGTCCTTTCTGGCCTGGGGAGCTGGCTGCGCCATTGAGAAGGGCCTGGGGCTGCCCCCTTGGCCTGTTCCCTGTGTCCCTCCCACCAAGCTGGCCCCCACCAGGCCCTCTGAGCCACCGGGATGCACAGGGTGTCCAGGCAGAATAATTCTGCTGACTTCCCACCTCGTCTAAGGAGGGCGGGAACTCTGGGTCCAAGGCTTTGCCCATGAGCAAGGGATTCCAGACCCTCTTCCTCTCCCCATCCCCCTCCAAGGCCTGAAGCTTTAGCTCCCCTGCGGGACTTGCTGCTGACTCCTCAGCCCACGACTGAGTATTTGTCAGGGAGAACAGCAGTGCGGGTTGGGCCCAGAGATGTTTGCTAGAATCCTGACTCTGATGTCCGTCGTCCCTCGCTATACTGGTGATACGTTTAGGGATCTCCCTTAAGTGGCCTCGCAGCGGGGCGACATGGGAGCTCCCTGTAGCAACATGAACCGCCACCCCGCTTCCAGACGCTTCCAGATGCTTCCAGACCGTGCCAACTCGCCGAGCTGCAAACCCAGCCCGCCTGCCAAGCCGGCCTGTGAGGCCTCAGAAAGGCAGGTGGGGGTGGAGGAGGGATGAAGGGACAGAGGTTCGCTCGGACTCTGTCATTTCCATGAGCCCATCGCCTACAAGGCACCTCTTCTGAGCCCTACCAGCCTGGGGTTCCAGAAAACGTCTGTGAGCATCTGCCCACGTGAATGGGGGTTCTCAGACCCCAGGACATGGGATGTGTTCTAGGGTAAAGCAAAATGAGCCAGGCCTCTGGAGGCCTCTGAGGACTTCTGGAACCTCCAGGAGGAGCCGGAGGAGGCCTTCCCACACTGATTGGACACAGAGCAGGGGGGGGGGGGGGGGGGGGAGTACGGGGAACGCCTGCTGGGAATGCTGGTTTAACAGAAACACGCTGGACCAGGACTTGGCAGTAATGGGTGGTGGTACAGGGTCCACCATAAACCAGCCACAGGACCTTGGGCAAGTCACAGCTCTCCCTAAGCCTCAGTTTCCCCATGAAGTGAAACTCAACTCCAGGCCTTGCTTCTTCCGGGATCACTGTGGAAAGGGACAAGGAACGCTGTGGCTGAGAGCGCAGTGAACAAAGCGTGGCCACGTGGGAGGAGTGTCGGCCAGCACAAGGAAGCCACGGTGGCCGGCCCGGTGCCCAGCTGAGTGCACTTGGGTTTCCATGTGTTTTGGGAGCTGATTCCGCTGCAGGAGAAAAGGAAGTTGGCAGATTTGACCTCGGGGAGCTCTCTGAGCAGGCCTGCTAACCCCACCTCCCAGGCCCTCTCCCCGCGGGGCTTTAGGCCTCACATTAGTGTGCGCCCCCCTCAGGCGAGGTGTGGGGAGGCTCGGGGACACTGGAGAAGGCGATGCCATCCTGCCCTGGCTTTCAGTGATGCCCGTAAACATTTGGTTCAGGCTTGGCCCCGGCATTACTGGGGACACAGGTGTCAGAGCTACAGCCCCACGGGCTGCAGATCTACCCAAGAGGCAGCCGTGTGGTGTGGGATGGGGCTGCCCAGCAGGGGGGGGCTAGATCAGGAGCTGTAGCCACTCGGGCCTGGGCCTGGGGCAGCCCCTCCTGAGCCGCTCAAGAGAGGAGAGGAGACTTGAACTAGAAGGTACTACTATGAGT